AAGAGTCACACAGAAAAATTAAAAGTTTACCCAAGTTTATTTAGCTCTATTGATTTCCTGTTGAAGTAATCCCTTTACATTGGATGGTAATTTTGTCCACCAAACTTGAGATAAGTCTACAAAATATTTGAAGCAGTATCAAGTTGGGATCTGTTTGTAAGAGTCTTATATTGAAGGTTTGAGATTCGAGGGAGACATAAAATGTGATAGGTATTTAGCATATGAATGGATGCGTCATGGCTGAGTTAGCCTCTACACAACTCTCCTCAATAGTTTCTACACTTAACTTAATTCTCAGGTAACATCCTTTTGTATACCTGCGTTTCTCCTATTTTCATGTTTGCCCTCGAGTCTTTGTAAACCATATGGTCACCTCCACGGTAATTACCTGCACTTGCCCTGGACAGACAGCTTTGATATAAGGTCTGATGTGGAGGTGGTGTATTTAGTGTCTAAATTCTTCATTTCCTGGTCATTTGAGTGGTCAGTCTAAGACCATACAATGCCTTTCTTTGCACAGGTGTGGTGGAGGATTGTCGCAGTGAAGTTTTGAGATATATTTACCTGTGCGTTGATCAGTGAACTGGAACAGACGTAATATATATTTATATATACTGGAGAAGTTCGGCTTGTATGTATGTGCATTACAAGTTGTGACTGACTTATGTTGATATCATGAGGACTGTGTTGGATGTTTCATTAAGAGGATAGTTAACGAGAATATTAGTACAGGTAAGGTTAAAAGGTGACACACCACCTTAGAATTGTTCAGATTATAAAACTGGCCACGGTGACTTACATACACATTCATTCACACTGAACAAACATGAATGGGCGACTACAATGTCTGTTTATAAATAAGGTCAAATCCTCTTACGAAAACATTGAACTAAATATTGTGTACTCTGATGGAAATAATGTAACTTTGTAAAATGTTTTGATAAAAGAGACTGAAGTCTTGATTTCTGTGTTTGTGTTGTGGGATAGTTCTGTGTGTGAGATATATGTGTGACATATGATTCCTTCACTATACTTATGATACCTGAACAACAACAAAGGTAAGATTACCTGGAGGTGTAACCACCCTGGGATAGTGTAATAATGGTGCACTAGGTTTCCCAGTCTGCTATAGCTAGCTACAGTGATAATAGAGTGTTTATTTCCCTGTAAATTACTATAGCTCATTGATATGTTTTTATCGCATGAAGGCCCATGTAGAACTGGTGTATAATTAATATACAGATAATGATGGATGTGTGGGACAAGTGGAGATTGTGGAACTTCAGCTCACCAGGGTTTGGGAAGGGATGTGTGGACAAGGGGATGGAGGAACCTCAGCTCACCAGGGTTTGGAAAGGGATGTGTGGACAAGGGGATGGAGGAACCTCAGCTCACCAGGGTTTGGGAAGGGATATGTGGGACAAGGGGAGATTGTGGAACCTCAGCTCACCAGGGTTTGGGAAGGGATGTGTGGGACAAGGGGATGGAGGAACCTCAGCTCACCAGGGTTTGGGAAGGGATGTGTGGACAAGGGGATGGAGGAACCTCAGCTCACCAGGGTTTGGGAAGGGATGTGTGGGACAAGGGGAGATTGTGGAACTTCAGCTCACCAGGGTTTGGGAAGGGATGTGTGGACAAGGATGGTGGAACCTTATCTCACCAGGGTTTGGGAAGGGATATGTGGGACAAGGGGAGATTGTGGAACCTCAGCTCACCAGGGTTTGGGAAGGGATGTGTGGGACAAGGGGATGGACGAACATCATCTTACCAGGGTTTGGGAAGGGATGTGTACATATTGGACAGGGGATGGAGGAACCTCAGCTCACCAGGGATTTGGAAGGGATGTGTGGGACAAGGGGATGGAGGAACCTCATCTTACCAGGGTTTGGGAAGGGATGTGTGGGACAAGGGGATGGAGGAACCTCATCTTACCAGGGTTTGGGAAGGGATGTGTGGACAAGGATGGTGGAACCTTATCTCACCAGAGTTTTGTTAGGGATGTGTTGGACTAGGGGATGGTTAGGATCTTTTCCTACCAGGGGTTGGGAAGGAATGTCTAAACAATCCAGAACCTTGTCCATGGGAACTGCAGACTTCTAGAAGGGTGGGGAGAGATATGATCTAAGTTTGTCACACCTAATGGGGGGAAAGTTGACTGGAAACTCCTATCAGAGAGTCAGGGGGATGCCAAAGTCCCTGCCTCTTGTAGAAACTTTTGTCCTGATCAGGAGGCATATCAAAGTCCCTATCACACTGTAGGAAACTGTGTCCTATCAGAGACTGGGGGGATGTCAAAGTCCCTATCACACTGTAGGAAACTGTGTCCTATCAGAGACTGGGGGGGGGGGTGTCAAAGTCCCTATCACACTGTAGGAAACTATGTCCTATCAGAGACTGGGGGGGATGTCAAAGTCCCTATCACACTGTAGGAAACTGTGTCCTATCAGAGACTGGGGGGGTGGGGGATGTCAAAGTCCCTATCACACTGTAGGAAACTGTGTCCTATCAGAGACTGGGGGGGGGATGTCAAAGTCCCTGTCCCACTGTATAAACTCTTGCTATAAGAGAGGACAATTTACAACCTATGTCTTACTAGGGAGTGGTGAATGTCCCAGATCTTAATATAGATCTACAATTTATTGTAGCATGGTCTAAGAAAGGGTAACCAATGTTAACATTCTTCTGCAGGAGTTAAGTGAATGGGACACTGAAATATTGTGACTGGATCATGTCTCTAACCTGTAGAACCCTTCCTTTGTCAGCAGATAATACTCCCTAGCTTTAATTCTTGCAAGGTCATTCCATGAGATTTTCCACCTGGCTGCAGCTCATTGACCGTTCTGTTAAACACTCCCTGTGGAGGGTAGGGTTGTCCACACTAGTCTATCTTACTAGTGTATAACTGGCACCTCCTCTGTAGCACGCTAGCAGCCACATAAACATGTAACCTGGTGTCTCCTCACTTCATTTCCTTGGATTTTATACCTAGTGTTGTCCAACTTAGGATTGTAACACCTCAGTTAAAGTCTGTGACACATGTACATACTTAATTGTTTATTGTACCAGTCTTGTTTTTATTCTGAGTGTCAAAAATACGAAGGAGGAAATATTTTTGGCGTAGTCTTTCTCCTGTGTGATTTTCTACTTGGCTGAATCTGATTGACCGCAGGACCATTTTTGTTACAATCTCAGAGCAGGTAGGTATTTTTGATTTAGAGGTGTATGTTTTACATACATATAGCCTTGTATATTGTAGCTGGTAAGAAGTAACACTGCTGTATTTGTTAGGTTTGAAAATAGGTATTACACTTGGCTTTATTTTAGAAGGTTGGGAGAGAAGAGGGGTAGAAAGTCAGGGGGGGGGGGGAGGGGGGAGCTGGAGGTACCTCAGGTGTATGGATTAACACAGGACTTTGTATATGGGCCACACATATATGTATACAAAGCCATGTATGTAAAATCAGGCACCAATAGATCCTGTTAACATACCTGTGTTTATAGTGGAGTCATCGTGGTGGTGGTCAAACACGAAAGATAAAAAAAACCTTTGCTAATATATTCATATCTCTTAATATGATACTTTTGTAGTGTTGATAAAGAATTCATGCTCAAAACAGGTATACCCTCATCAGCTACAGGTGTTTAGGGAGTTATACCGGTCAGGTGAGTTGTGGGTCCAGGATTATTTATTTATATATTACTCACCTCCACCTGTCCTCAGGTGAGTAAAACACATGGCCAGAGGGACAGGTAAAATAATTGAATTAATAGTGTAAGCTGGATGCCAGATATTGGCAGATGTAAATGTTATCTTGTTCGTAGCTGATTTATAGTACAGGCCCAGAGGAAAACACCAACATTCTGACCGCAAATTATTGATCAATTGATTGGAGATTAATACACACCCAGATCTCTTATCTGTTATAGATACTGGACATCATTGTACGTTATTTATATCAGACATTACATACATTTATTACTAATTATTGAATCTATTAGGAATTAACTTGCCTCAGTGAGAGAGGATTGGGTTATAACTGCACAGCTCAGGTTATAATCAGCAGATCTATACAAGGTATTTAAGTTCTGTTTATTTACCTGTGTTGACGAGATCTATATGTGTGGGATTATTATACCAGGTAATGCACGTCGGCGTCCATATAACTAATCGTGTCAGAGTTGGAAATCAGGCCAAACATTGAAGTTTTATCTTCTGTGTCATCAATATCGTGTTTCTTTGGCTTACATTGTCTTATTATGGAAGATTTAATACTAACTCATTGTTGTACGGTAAGCAATATACTGCCTAATATCGCTGGTGAAGTCGTGATCAAAACTATCTAAAAACACACAAGGAGACAGTTATAGTATAGATTGTTTGATACGGATTGCAAATTCAATTTTAAATCTCATAAATTCTGTTCTGTAAGTGGAATATTACAATTTAAACAGTTTTCATATGTTTGTGTCAGAAATGGTAAATAGCATTATCAGGGAAGTTTTCCAGGATGGTTGTCTTCAAGTCTTCATCATACAGCTATCATTGAATTTCCAGCCACTCACAAGGTTGTTCTGATGACTGAAATTTTGTTTCAAATTTATCTGTGTAATGTTAAAATCTTTTTGATAGAAAACAGAAGGTAAATGCGACACTTTCAGTGAAGGAGTAGACAAAGACTGATGTTTTCATATTACTGGTCAGCTAGTAACAATAAACTACAATAAGTGGTGTTTGTTTGAAACAGAAGTATAGACAAATCTGTTTATCAGGAATATTTTGAGAAAACAAGGATCTAGGAATGAAAACAAAGCACTTGCATATCTACCAGAAGGTGTGCAGGCTCACAGAAACTTGATGACACGGGCATGTGATAAGAGGTTAGAATTATATGTGTGTACGTGTCGGGTTACTTATTCTACAGCCATCTGTCACATGCATGCATTATAAACATTTGTTGTATACACACTGCACTACCTCTATATATGTGTTGTCTTTTCAGGACTTATGTGTTGGAGAACAGACCACTACTCAAAGCAGCTAACTAGGTGGCAGGAACTGTACGGTGGTTCTAACGTTTTCTTCCAAGACGAGACGGGGTTGTCCCCATCAATGGTAAGATTTTCTTTCTCTTCAGTTTTGTTTCTTGAATGGCTGGTACAGCAGAATTACAACATTGTAAACTTGAAAAACATTTTCTTTCCCTACTGACCACACAGTATGCTAAAATTACTTTCAGAATGAATATAAACTTTTTCCGTACATATCATTATGTCCCTCTGCCCCCTGACTGGCAACAGTACAGTGTCTTCAATATATTCCGCCTTTAGCTTAGTATTCTATTTTATAGCTTTGTCTGAATGAGAAGGAAAAGATTATTTAATGTCACATCAACAGCAATGGTGATGTAAGGAAAAGCTTAAGTAGTTTCAGGCTATTTGGTATATAATGAAAAAAATAAAGTTGAATATGATATTATTAGGTATGTATGTTGCTCTTCAGAAACCATCTTCCACAAGAAATGGATATTTTCCTATTTACTTACTGTAAGGTTTCAGTGTGGCAGTTCTTAACCCTTCATTGCATATATGTATCTCCAGACAATGTATTGGACACTTATCATTCCCCAAGATTGGTATATTCTTTATGCTAGGCTAAAATGATCATTACCGACCACTTACATGCATCTATAGACAAGGTTGTCAGCTCAAGACTTTCAGACACTCAGACATGGTAAGCTAATTATCTACTGCACCAAAAGGGATGTACTTTATATAATGCATCTCTTAGGATGATTTTTGTCAGAGACAGAATGTAATATCCATGGTTACCAACATTGTCAGCGTACACATAAAAAATAAATAAAAATGAAATGGTAGAAGATTTTGGTGCAATGTGTTGTAGTTGAAGGATGTAATAACTAACACAGAGTGACAGATGGCAGCACATCTGCGGGAGGATGGGGGTGGGGCGAGAGAAGTGTAGGGAGAGAAGCTCTCTCAGGGGTGGAAGGAAGGAGTGGTAAAGGGAGGGGACAGGGATAGTGGGATGAGGGGAGGAGGTAAATATAAGGAGAGGGGTAGTAGGTAAAGGGAAGTGGGGTAGTGGTGTGTGTGAGATGGGGGGTAGAGCATGTACATGGAAGAGGTGTGTGAAGCAGGTGGCGGGGGTTGGTTGGTTGGAGGTACAGAGGACAGGATAGTGTTGTAGTGAGAGGAGCTGGTGTGTATCGAGGGACAAGGGAATCAGGTATAGGAGGGGGGTAGTGAAGTAGAAGCGGGGAAGGGAGTCAGGTAGAGGGAGGGGGTAGTGAAGTAGAAGGGGGAAGGGAGTCAGGTATAGGGAGGGGGTGGTGAAGTAGAAGGGGGAAGGGAGTCAGGTATAGGGAGGGGGTAGTGAAGTAGAAGAGGGGAAGGGGAAGGGAGTCAGGTATAGGGAGGGGGTTGGTGTATAAGAAGGGGTATACCAGTAGGTAAAGGAAGCTCTGTTGGTGGAGACTGTTATAGAAAAGTTCTCTTATTATCCAGCATCGTCCTAGCAGGACAAACAATTAATGTTGCAAACTTGCCATGAAACGCAATAAACATAGCATACATGTTTTGTTTTATTTGCATTTTGTGTGTACATGCAAGCTTGCATTATCTGTTCTTCCTGGCACTCCTCAGTAGTATGTTTTATCAGAAGTATCATTTTACTGGTTTAAATACAAATTAATGAAGGTTATCAGAAGTTTTAGAGTGATTGTCAGCTAGAATTTCTGACAGAACTTTCAGAGTAACATGTAAATTCACATGTATGTATGTAAGTGAGTTTTATGATTGCTTCATGTGAGTTAATCATGGCATGGGGTTCATCCTACTATCTCTGTCAATGATTATTTGAAATGTCATTCTGATAAGACAGGTTTTTGCATGCAAAATACCAATGTAGTTAGTATCATTGTTACAATGGGATAAGGATATATAGCTTTATTTCCATCATTAAAAATTTTCCTATTTGTTTGATTTTTGATGAAAGAAATATGGAAAGTCTTTTTATTTTTGAATGGAAAATGAATTAAAACTCGTATATGTTTTGGGCATTATCAGATATTTTCCATGTTTAATGTGCAGATGTGTTGAACTGGCCGTCTTTGCTGAGGGAAGTTACCATATCCTACAGATTTTGTTTTACATGCAGATGCTGCACCGCAGGGTCCTACTGCCATGTAGATCTGTGCAGCATCACATTTTAATCTCATGTGACATTTCTTCTCTCAGCTCGACTCTTTCTGTACTTTTATCTGGGAAAATCCTGCCTCTTGTATTTGCTAGGTTTTAAACTACATGTGTCTATACTTCAATAAAATGTTGAAATTTTTTTTTACGGGCTGTTAAGTTTTTTATTTCCAAAAGATTGCATTCGGAGATTAAGTACTAGTTTAAAATAATGATATTTTCATTGAAATTTGTCACAATATAAAATGTCATTTCTACCACCTTGTTTTAACTGCTTGGGATGTAGTAACTTTCAAGTGAAGATTCAGACAAATATTGTCATTGCAGCAGTGAGAATATTACACTACATAATTTCATACAATCAAAATGAAATAACATTTACCACATAACACATTAAAACAAACATTTGTCTCCATTCAAATATGAATATCACAGAAAGTGCCACACATGCTATAATAGCTGGCAGTGTGCTGTTGCTTGGTATGTTTGGGCAAGGATTACCATCATGGCTATAAGACAGATAAAGTTGTCCCTTATGAAGGCAGGCACCTGTCCTTATCAACCTACAGCACACCTAACCCCCATCTGAGGATCATTACCAAGTGTACATGTACAGATGGTTTACTTGTAAGGGAGGTGATGACACTGGTATATCAAGTTTGATGATAATTTCCTCCATAGCAATTTTTGTTCCCTCATCAAATTGCTTCAAGTATTGAAAATGTTTATCAATATAAAGTTCATACTTTACTGATGACCTTTAACCTTAGGAAGATTGGGTACTGTACAGCTGACCTTTGACCTTAGCTAGATTGGGTATCATACTGATGACCTTTAACCTCATTGAGGTTGAGATGTAATGTGTTTAGCGAGAGTTATTGGTACTGTTATTTGACATTAAATCTATTCATCCTCTTTTTCAAGTCTCTTTAATATTATCAAAATGATTACTTTTGAATTCTGTAAAATCCTTCATCTTTTCTTCTTTAATGACATGATATAGAATACAGTAGGCAGTGTTACATATATATGATTGTTTTGTCATATTGGCCAACAAGTATAGATATTAAGGACACTAGGTTTAAATAGACAGCAGGTTCATATGCCATGCAGTGTCACTTCCATTTCAAAACAGAAGTGGGGTCAGAGAAAAACCTGTTGTTACAGATTTGCCAAGGTTACAATGTTTTTATAGAATATTGCGATTAATCAGTCAGGTAAACTGCTATTCTGCAAAAATCTGTGACAGTGTATATTGATGTGGCTCTAAAGATGTGCTGAGGCTCTGATGCAACACCTGGCTGGTATTGACCTTTTTTTCACAGCTCAAGGAGAAAGAAATGTTTGCTCTAAATACTAAACACTTGACTGTATTTATCCAGCAATAAAACCATGTTTAATAGTAAACCCAACTGTTACTTCTTCAGTATAGAATTTTACCAATCTTATGTCACTGTCCTGTATTAAGCTTTGCTACCTTGACTTTTATATAATGTAATATATTGGTCTCTTGAAAATTGCTATCACAGTATGAATGCTTCCATTGTAACTCTTACACTATGCTATGTTTGTTAGTGTTTTACTGTTTTACTCTCACACCATGCAATGTTTGTTAATGTGTTACTCTCACACTTTGCCATGTTTGCTAATGTTTTACACTCAATCTATACAATGTTTGCTAATGTTTTACTCTCACTCTGTACAATGTTTGCTAATGTGTTACTCTTGCTCTATACAATGTTTGCTAATGTTTTACTCTCACTCTATACAATGTTTGCTAATGTTTTACTCTCACTCTATACAATGTTTGCTAATGTTTTACTCTCACTCTATACAATGTTTGCTAATGTTTTACTCTCACATCATGCAGTGTTTGTCAATGTTTTACTCCATGGATTTTTTTCTTGCCTTATTTCATGTCTACTTTATTGATTTATTGGTCAACTTGATAGTCTGTCTTTGTTATACATCACTGTTTATGTAAGTAAGCCTACTGTAATGTCACACATATTCATAATAAATAGTCTGAACTCATAATCACTGTGTTCATCAGTGCCACAGTAAGCTGTGTATTGATCATGAAGTACTAATACTGCAAGAGGATAAAGGTAATATTGGTGCCTGGAATATCACCACAGATCTATAGAGTTATTACTACTTACTGACACAGTGCTTCATATACTGTAGAAAGCTCGGGCAAGAGTCTCAATTTAAAATCTAATATTCTGAAAGATTATACTCTGTTGGTGTCAACCTGTCATTACATACATAGTAAGATGTCAGATAGTAAGAACATATTTAAAAAATTTTGTGTTTGTTCTCAAATTACTTACTTTTAAATTAAAAATAATCGATTTAGCGAAGATTTTAAATTCTGACTTACATTTCATGATACTGGCCCTTTTAAGATCATCTGAACAATGTCAATGGATTGCAGATATGTTTCAAAGCAGAACCAAATTAAAAAGGCTTATTAAAGTGGAATTAACTTGCTTTAGGATCTGGCTGTTTGTGGGTGTAGTCTTTGGATCAGCTATAAACAGATTATAAGAGATTATCAACTGTTTAATGCCTTTGAATAGTTTGAGTGTCGACAGGTTTTAGCACTGTTTAATGCTGTAAAACACAGTATGACATCAGCAGACTGCACCAAGCTGTGTTGTCATAACTTCTGTACACACAAGGCATACACTATCTTAAGATGATTATAAATCCATCTATTATGTTTCTTTGTTTATTATCAGTGAATTGGAATGTACCACTGACAATGTTTTGTTAGAAGGCCCACCAGCGTCTGATTACTGTGACACTTAAAGTTTAATCTTCCATGAAAAATTGTCTAAAGTTGTACAGTTACTGATTCCATGCTTTGTCTATGTGACATTTTTTACT